CTTTCTGACGTAGGAAAAATTATATCGGGATAGAGGAGCAAACGCGGGCGGTGTTGTCAGATTTTCTATTTTTTCTGTTTTTGATGATTGAAATTCTTCCAGTGAATAAACCTCACCTACAAGAAGACCATGTTTCTGATACAATACTCAACATAAAGTCTTACAAATCCGTGAGGAGACTATCGATAATCTACCCAAATGATTTCGAATGTCAAAGATTCTCATATTTCTCAAAAAGGAAGACATACAAATGATTATATAATATAATTACGGTCAAATCAATTTGTTTCGCCGTAATAGGCGAGGAAAAAAATAATTTCTCAACAAGACTATCAGCAAACTAACAGAAATATTCCGAGTGACAAGAATTTTTGTATAACGCAAAACTGAAGACATACAGATGAAATTATATATAGGGTCAAAACAATTTGGCCGTAATAGGCGAGGAAAAAAATAATATCTGACAAGACTTCAACTAAAGTACCCGAAATATTCCGTGTGCCAAAAATTGGTGAGCTACATGGGAAAGGAAACATATGGAATGTTATATATATACAGAGTCAAATCAATTTGTTTGGCCGTAATAGGCGAGGAAAAAAATAATTTCTCAACAAGACCATCAGTAAACTAAGAGAAATATTTCGAGTGCCAAAAATTCTTGCATTTCACAAAAGTGAAGACATATAGTTGAAATTATATACAGGGTCAACACAATTTGTTTGGCCGTAATAGGCGAGGAAAAAAATAATGTCTGACAAGACTTCAACTAAAGTACCCGAAATATTTCGAGTGCCAAAAATTATTGAGCTACATGGAAAATGAACCATAAGGAATGTTTTATATACCGAGTCGAATCAATTTGTTTGGCCGTAATAGGCGGGAATAAAATAATTTCTCAACAACACCATCAGTAAACTAACAGAAATATTCCGAGTGCCAAAAATGTTTGTATTTCACAAAACTGAAGACATACAGATGAAATCATATACAGGGTCATAACAATTTGTTTGGCCGTAATAGACGAGAAAAAAATAATGTCTGACAAGACTTCAACTAAAGTACCTACCCTTTCACACCACAAAACTAATTGCGAACGAGTTGGACATTCGCCAATAAATAAAAATTGAAATGTTAATAAAAGCTGAAAAAATTGAAAAAATTGAAAATATTATTAACAAAAAATGAAAAATGAAAAGATTTCAAACCAAGTTATGTCACAACGTTTCGATTGTTAGTATCCACAATCGTCTTCGGGTGATAACTGGACTTATTCCTCCGAGATCTGACTATTTATAAGTCATTCGAGTGCTTTCACCTATCCCCTCTTCCCTCTTTCCGCTTCATTGGTTTTGGCGGGAGATAACCGTTTGGCGGGAGTTAGTCGTTTTTCGCTTTATTACAGGTTTCCATATGTTACGTATCTCTACGCTAGCTTGACTAAATGCATTATTGGACAACATATACGCGACTTCTTTGAATTTTCTCCCAAACCAGTGTTCCTCTTTGTGGATGATTTCAGCTTGAGCCCACTTGATGTTGTGTTGAGTCCAAACATGCTCTGCTATTCCGGATTTGCTGGTTTCTCCTCACTGTGTGTGTTTCTTGTGCTCAGCAATGCGAACTTTCAATGGCCTCTTAGTTTCACCGATATATGATTTTCCGCACTCGCAGGGTATCCGGTAAATGCAATTCTTGGAATCGCAGTCTGCGTTTGGTGGCCTGGTTTTCGTGAGGCTGCTACGGATAGTGTTCCCAGATCTGAAGCAGGTCCTGATGTTATACTATACCCAATCCTTCTTATCCTTCCCGACAATCCTCTGATGTAGGCAAGTACAAGTACTGATTGTGGCGGCTTCTCCTCATTGGGGAGCTCTTGCTGTCTTCTAGCTAAAGCCTGTTCTATCATCACTTTGGAGTAACCATTCCGAGACCTTCCTTTGTATTACAGAGCCCGAAAGCAAGGTCTAGTAGAGTCTTGATGATTCCTCTCTTAGTCGATTGATGCTGGTATTGTATATTGATGCTACAAGGTAAAACATCATCTTTTATGAAAAATTCAAGGCATTTCGTTGAACTACTAGGGGAAATCGAAGTCAAAGAGCAGGATCAGTTGATCAGTTTCGATGTGGAAAGCCTCTACACCAACGTTCCTGTCGAAGAAGCACATCAAATCATACAGAAGAAGCTATCCGAAGATGGGGACCTGAAAGATAGAACAAACTTACCAATACAAGTAATCATGGAATTACTAGGATGATGTGTACGAAACTGCTACTTCCAACTGAAGGACGAATTCTTTATGCAAGATGAGGGACTGCCAATGGAATCGCCACTTTCACCGATTATAGCCAATATATATATGGAGTGGTTTGACACTTTGGCCATTGAAGAAGCCCGCAAGAAGCCCCGAGTCTGGTTGAGATACGTAGACGACACCTTCATAATATGGAACCATGGGAATGCAGAACTAGACACTTTCCTGAAGCATATCAACAACGTAAGTCCTTCCATCACTTTCACAATGGAGAAGGAAGTCCACAACGAATTGCCATTCTTAGACGTATTGGTGAAGAGGACCGACACTAAATGGGAAACATCTGTATATCGAAAACCCACTCACACAGGACAGTTTCTGAACCAGATATCCAACCACAATCAATCGACTAAGAGAGGAATCATCAAGACTCTACTAGACCGTGCATTCGGGCTCTGTAATACAAAGGAGGGTCTCGAAAAGGAACTAGGCATCATCAAAAATGACCTTCAACGGAATGTTTCTCCAGAGTGATGGTAGAACAGGTTTTAGCTAGAAGATAGCAAGAGCTCTACAAGGAAGAGAAGCCGCCACCACCAGTACTTGTACTTCCCTACATCAGAGGATTATCGGAAGATTGTGGATACTAACAATCGAAACGTCGTGACGTAACTTGGTTTGGAATCTTTTAATTTTGATTTTGTGTTAATAATGTTTTTTAATTTTCAGCTTTTATTAATATTTCAATTTTTTATTTTTTTTTTGGTTGTTGCTTGTATGTTGATTCTTTGTAATTTCAGTTTTTTGTTTAATAAAATTGTTATTTTCGGTTAATCTTTTTGATATTTCATTTCAGGGATTTCAAATCATTTTATATTATATTAGACAATGGAAGTCCGAACTGATGAAATATTTATATTTTATCCTGTGGCTGTAGGAACTTTCGGTGTATTTGCCCCTTCTCTCTGAATTTTGTTAATGAAATTGGCAGAAGGATGACTGAAAAAACTGACTACTACTAGCTTTCTTATCCAAAAAATTAGTTTAGTTATACTGCATGGTAATTCAGCTTCAATTTTTGGTACTATTCCATCATCACATTCACTGAATGACATTTTTCTTCATCCCATTGTTTCCAAATCATATTCATTCCCTAGCAATAATGAGAGATTGATTCCTCATAATACCTCCAATATTTCTTGTGATATTTCCCATAAGTTCTCACCAGAAGATACAGAGAAATATGAACAAGTTCTGGAATTATCTTCTCCCAAATTTGAAACATCTGCCGTATCCAATTCAAACAGCTTTGAATTCCTTATTTCACCAATCCAATAAAGGGGTGAATCATCGTATCAGTGATTACTCGAAAGAAGACAGCAGTGGCGAATGTAGTATTATCAACAGTTACAACATTAGATCAGTGATACATGTTTAGTCAAAACTGTTCGGTTTAATGGGTTGAAAAATATTTGAAACACATATTTTATGAACAGTGTAATCCAAAGTTTATCAATCACAAGATGGATGCTGGAATATTGAGAAAAGGATACATACTTAGAAGATATAAATACCTAGTATGATAGGAGCTTTAATCAAAGCGTTCACAGAAGTTATTGAAGAATTGTGGCCAGAAGATTCATCTGATGATAAACACGGGCTAATTTGAAAGTCAGATTCAAAGATTTACCCCTCGATTTATGGGTTATGCCCATCAAGCCGCCCAGGAACTCCTTCGATATCTTTTAGAAGGTTTACATGAGGACCTTAATAGAATTATTGAGAAACCTAAACCGATCTTAACTGAGATTAACGAAAAATTGAGCGAGCTGAAAAGCACAAGAGTTCTGGCTGAGATATTTGAATATAAACAACTCTAAGATTGTAGGAAATTTCGTTGGTCAATTAAAATCCACATGCACACACTGTGGACACTCATCAGTAACCTTCAATCTTTTCTGGGTTTTGTCTCTCCCCATACCACAAAGATCTGACCCAATGAGTTTGTCACAATGCCTGGATTCTTTTACAAGAGAGGAAACTCTGGACGGAGATGAAAAACCAACGTGTTCGAGGTGCGAGGAAAGAAGAAAACGCACAAAGTCCCTATCAATCCATAATTTTCTCCTTATTTTAGTAATACATTTGAAAAGATTTTCTCCAATGGAAAGATTGAGAGGCAAATTGAATGTTGCCATTGATTTTTCATTAGAAGAATTAGAGATATGAGAAATCATGCAGCAAACAATGTGGCTCCTTGTTGTTTTAACCTATATGCACTTTTGAATTACAGTGGAACTACTTACAATGGGCATTAAACAGCATATTACAGACATCCATATAGTGGCACATAGCATGAATACAATGATTCACATGTGTCCCTAATTTCACGGAAAATAGCTTGTGAGTGAGGAGGCATATAATCGTCTTTTATGAACAGGAGGAAACGAAGCTGCACCTTTGTGGTGTTTTTTTTCTTTTATATGAACAAAATTCTGTGAATTGATTTATATTTTATGGTTTGCAAAAATATAAATTGTAATTCGAAAGACAGATAATGCAAAATTATCAGCGATTATTAAAAAAAAGGACAAAGTAATATATACATCTTGAATGTCCCTTTATATTTTTTCGTGTACTAATTCAAGGCTTTTGTACTAATAATGATATGTTTTTCATATTATTTTCGTAAGTTATTTTTTATCACTTTAATTTTTCAAATTATTCCGATAGCTAAATAAAACCATTTTTATCAATTTGTAATATATTCTTATTCAATTACGAAAAATATGCTACATATTCTTTTGTTTCGTAATAACATTGAAAAAATTAAATGCTTGAATGATGAATATTTGAATTTGAATCATTGGTGCCACTTTGCAGACATCTAATTTTACACCCATTTCAACAATATATCTGGTTCATAAACAAATAACAAATATATTCATTGAATACTGAATTTTCTATGAGTCAAAACAAATTGTAATACCCCTTATTTCTATAATCAAAATATACAGAGTGTCACAAGAATGTACTCAATCAAAATTTTAGATACACTAAATGATGAACAATTCGTCAATCTTCAGTTTACACCATCTACATTCTTTTATGTACAATTCAAATAGTTATTAGAACTAAAACAAATAGACCTGTCATGTGTTAGAAAATATTTATAGAATCCTGTATCTTGAATTACACGTGTTTTAAAAAGGTACAAACAGATTGCATCACGGGTCATAATTTTGAGTTTTGCTGGCCTTAAGTCACTCACGCACTCCTATTCGAAAGTTCAATATATAACTTCATATACAGTTGCTTTCTTATCGCCCGATCCTGTCACTATGTATTTATCGTCTGTAGAGATGTCACAACTCAGAACACTTGAAGACTCTTTAGACTGAAAAAAAAAACAAAATTGAAACAGACTACCTTAAAGAAGTTGCAGTTACTTTTTGATCAAATTTAAAAACGCCAGAGAAAAATAGTATCAACTGCTGACGGGACAGGTAGAATTTTGTTTTTGTTGAAAATTCATACTATCTCAATAACAAAATTAAAAGTATGTGGAGTCAGGGGAAATACACTTTTGGGAAATATGGGGAATGTGAATGGTAAAAGAAAAATCTAATATACTGCAAGCCCATATAAAATTTTCAAGTGGATAAATGATACATCTCAAACATCTATAATTTCTATAGCCCCAGAGTAAAAAATTAGTTTTATCAGTTATAGGTGGCGCATGTGAAAATATTGCAAAAATGAAAACAACTTTTATCAAATCAGATATTAATTACGACTGTAATTTTTCATAATCAAACTCCGTACAAAAAACAATGGAAAAAACTTTTCTTCTTCTGGAAAGTGACTTCTACAGGCAGTTTCTTTTATCATGTGGTAACATTGCTATATTTTAAACCGGTAACAAATACGAAGACGATTAAATGGGAAAAAGGTAACTGTCATCGGGAACAATACAATGGTCGAAGAAAATTTACGAGGACTCGCTCTTCTCGAGTTATACGGGGTAAAAAAAATGCTGTTTTTCGTTTTTTTTTTATTAGAACTGTTATTTCGGAGAATATCAAAAAATGGAAAAGGAAAATGTTATTGTATTCGAAGTGTACTATGACGATGTAATAATGAATATTCGATAAAACATTTCGTGTCAACAAGGCCACCATAACCTTTTTTTTTTAATACGGACCTGTCTTTTTTATGACAAATATTGATAAAGCGATAAATTCACAATCCTAGGGTATATCACATTTGATATTTTTATAGCGTTTCATTTGAAATAACCACCATCATCAGTGACAACAATCAAACAGAAAAACAATTTATTTTATCATGAACTATTATCATGAATAATAGTAGACCAAAAATTTATAGGGACTCTTGCCTTTCTCGAGTTATACGGGAAAAATAAAAAATGCTATTTTTTGTTTTTTTCAAATGGAACTGTTATTTCGGAGAATATCAAAAAATGGAAAAGGAAAACGAAAAATAAAAGCTACAAAGCAATCTACATCAAATGCTCGAATTGACGACCTCTTTGTTGAATGCACATAAGTTGTCCATTATGTATCCCCAGACAAAAAAAATCTAAAGGAGTCAAATCTGGGGATTGAGCTGGCCAGTTAATTGATACATTGTTTCCAATTCATTTTCTTGGGAATATTGCATCTAAATGTTCCCTTACTATTGCTGCATTATGGGGAGGAGCGCCGTCGTGTTGAAAATATTGTATTGTATCATGGCGGATAATCAATGGCAATTCATCTAAGTAGCCATCGAAATAATTGAATAGAAAATTACGATACAAGGATGTTTGTTCTTACAATTCCCAACCAAACATTCATTCCGAACCTTTCTTGGAAATTGGTTTCCCTATGTAAATGTTCATTTGTATTATTGCACCTATAATGGATATTTCTGTAATTGGTGGTGAATTTTGATTCGTTCGTCCATATTATTTTTTTACAAATATTTCTAACTTTCCTATTTCTACATCTTAACCACTTCGCAAATCGTACTCTCCTTCCGTAATTCCTTTCATTGAGGTGATGAACTTTGCGTATCCTGTAGCATTTATATTTGTTCTTTTTCAAAATAGTTCTGATGGATTTTACAAAAATCCCCATTTCGTTGTCAATTTCTCGTAAATAACAATTTTGATTAGCATAATTTTTGTAACTCTTCAATCCTAAATTGAAAAAAAGATGTTTTTTATGTGGTAATATTTGCTTACTCATAACATTTGTTTGAGTCCTCACACTTCTAGTAACCACACATTTTCTTGTTTTCTTTCTGTCAAATGCACGAATACGATGATTCGGGTTTAGCTCAACATACAATTCCTTGCCAAAAGAAGCAAGATTTTGCATAACTAAATAGCATATTAGTCCTTTCATCATTTGAATACATCTTTGATATGTTCATAAACGTCTGACAGTTTTCAACAGATATCAACAACGCATTCATTTTTCCTGCCATAGAAACCAAGCAAAGCCTATGCGTTTAAGATGGTAAATGAATTAAGATGCTATTTGATTATACCAAACTATATTACAATCGAATTTTGACCATAAACTGATATTTTCGTTATTTCCAGGATTGAAAATTATACGAATATTACGAATTATAATTGATTAGGGAGAAATAAGCCTTGAAAGAAGGATTAAGGCAATACAAAAATTTCCAAAACGAAAAAGTACCAATTTTCATTATGTTACCTACCTGTCGAATTTATTGGGTTGTCTGAATTATATTTTGAAATCATGGAAACAATTTACAAAAGAAGTAACGACAGGACCGTAATTTAAAATTGTTGTCACTGATGATGGTAGTTATTTTAAATGAAACGCTATAAAAATATCAAATGTGATATACCCTTGGATTATCAATATCTGTAATAAAAAAGACAGGTCCACATTAAAAAAAAAAGTTAATGGTGGCCATGTTGACACGAAACGTTTTATCGAATATTTATTATTACATCATTATTGTATTCGAAGGGTAACGAATACAATAACAGTTTCCTTTTTAATTTTTTGATATTCTCCGAAATAACAATTCCATTTGAAAAAAACAAAAAAACAGCATTTTTGAATTTCCCCGTATAACTCGAGCAGAGGGAGAGTTCCTGTGAATTTTTGGTCTGCTATTGTATTGTTCCCGATGACAGTTACCTTTTTTCCCATTTAATCGTCTTCGTATCTGTTACGGTTTGGAATATAGCAATGTTACCACATGATAAAAAAAACGTCCTTTCTTTTATCATAAGAAAGTGTTGAAGTACTGCACAACTTTTATGAAATTAGTTGTATCTATGATAATAATTACACAATTTTCAAACATTACGATTTCTAGACACGTTTTGCTAACACCTTAGTTTCCTCTGTAGAAAAGAGTATTGCACACTGGGCTACAGTTCTTATGTACAACAACAGTAGGTACTTAACTCAAGTGGCTAATAGTGAAAGCAATCCCAGGTAGAATTTGTAATAATAATGATAATAAATAAGCTTCATTGTCGGAATAATGAGTCCTATTGACAAAGCATGTGTCAGTGAGATAAAAATGTATACGCAAGTACATAGTAAGTCTATATAATTCGAAGCCTATAAAAATATTTATATGTACATTTACACACACATATACAAATGAAAATATGCTAAAACAGGTATTTACCACAATAAAAAAAATGTCCACATGTGTAAAATGTAGTAGGTAATAAGAAATAGAAGTATAAAAATTAAGAAGAAAATTAAACAAAATATAAGGAAGGTGTACCACCTACAACTGACAACATAATACTGCTACTTCAAAAATATAAAAATCATATGGGTATCAATATGACTCCTCCAAATATTCAGCAATTGGTTTGCTGTAAGTATTGATGAATGGATTAATTAATACCAGAAGGGATTGATAAACATCTTGATTAGAAACTTAACTGTAGAGCTGTTCTATCAAAATTAAGATAAATAGTATTGAACAAAAACAAGAGCAATTTTTAGTGGAGGAAACATAGTTTCTATTGACTTTTTTTGGGAGTCATCACCTTCCACAAAAATTTGTAATGGAGAACTTTATACAAATGAAGATAGAAAAAAAGTTGTTACTGCAATATATTGTTCTGGAGAAGAATGTTCTGTTTATGAGTAACTTATATTGAATAATATTGCTTGACTGAAAAAAAAAACTAACAATTTTATAGGTTACATATCAAGACATTTCAGACACTTAAATCTGACTCATCTTTAGAATGGAAAATAAGCTATATTTTGTAGCACTCTTCGTAAAAGTTTTCTTTTGTGTCAAAGTTGTTGATTGCCTATTTGAGTGTTCTCTGATATTCGTTTATTGCCATTCGGCCACTTTCTTTATGTTTCATCACATATTCACACTCATTGGAGATCCTAAATTATGACTTTACCTGGAATATACTTGCTCCATATGGCGTCCTCCAGGCGTTCAACAAATTATCCTTTCCTGTTGAGACAAACCATTTTCCACATGTCGCAAATCGCAGACTTAATACACAACTTTCGTGGAGATGTAACTGGTATTTATCAGGTTTATTGGCATGTAATACTTCAACATGCGAGTTTTCCATACCTACAGCCAACCATTCACCAGTTGGACAGTACCCCAGAGAAAATATTTGAGAACTGAAATCATGCTGTTGCAATTGTTTGCCTTCCCTCAAGTCCCAACTTCGAACCTAGAAAAAATAGAATAATAATTTCCATAATAAGTTGCAGAAGTATTCATTTTATATAAATACTTTGGGGGTCAGGTATGTTCTATATGAAATTTCTCACCGTGTTATCCAGTCCACCTGTCCATAACTTTGTACCATCTGATGAAATATCTATGCAAGAAGCTCCATCAGTGTGCCCTTGGAACTGCCTTACTAAAGTCTGATTATGAAGATCCCAAACTGCAATATTACCATCGGAACAGCAACTGAAACAAACCTTGGAATCGGGGCTTATGGCAAGGGCATAGCAAGCTGGAGCACTTGAAGTCAATTCGGCTTTAATTCGAGGAGTAGGACTCGCCAAATCCCAAATTGAAAGATTGCTGGCTTCACCCCCTACTATCAATGTTCGTCCGTCAGGTAGAAGTTTAACTGATCTTATGTAATTATCACGTTGCTGAAATGAAAAAAATATTGTTTTTTATCTGGAGTTCAGTTTTTAGACAACATATTTGTTTTTTACGGTAGGGTGTTGGATAAAACTTCGGAAGACTATTAGTGTACACATAATTACGACTATTAATGATATTACCATGGTTTTTTGGGAAAGAAAGGTTTTGGCTTTCTACTTCATCACCTTTATACAAAAAAAGGAAGGACCTTCCGAAGAAAAAAAGAAAGAAATCAATTTCAAAAAGGTAACTCTATATAAAGATGTGTTGATCATTTAAAGAAGTTACTTTCAGACACAAACTGAAAGAAAAGCCCTCTCGAAACAGCTACTTTCATATAAATATTGAATTACACGAAAAAAAAACTTTTATATGAACACTGAATTATACAAAAAATATTTTTCTCGTTTGTGTTCTATGTAGGTGAAATTTCATCTCTTTCATTCACTATACTGTATAGCAAACCTGTAAGTGATATCTGATTTAATCCCAAAATGAATGTTTGAATACAAACTGAATAGAGAAAAGTGTTTTTTGTATACCTAATGCAATAATCTTATAAAAGTGTTTGTTTCGAAAGTTTTTGTTTCATGTAATTCAATGTTTATATGAAAATTTTGAGAGGGCTTTTCTTCCAGTTTGTGTCCGGAAGTTACTTCATTTGCATGATCTACACATCTTTGTGAAATGAAGATGAAGAAGTAGAAAGCTAAAACTTTTCTTTCTCAAAAATTTATCTCTCCCAAAAGTATACCCCTTTCAATTAACTGTTATTGTATATTTTTAAAAAACCTTGACAGTACTTACCAAACATTCCAACTGTGAAACAGGGCTCTTCGATCCAGGCTGACTGATATCCCATACTTTAACACAACCTTTACCTCCTGTATATACATACTTTGTGGGATTAGATATGGTAACCGCACAAACTACTTCCCCATGACTGAGGGTGTTGATTTGACGAGCATGCCTTGGAATTCCGGGCCCTATAAGAGCGTCAGTTGGAAAAGGTACTGGCTGAAGTTGTCCCTCACCATTCATATGGAAAGAGTAAGCTCTGAAATTTTGATAATGAAATAAACACATTTCAAATCGGTGTTTCGAAAGAAAAATAAAAAAATCAGGAAGGAAGAAGTTTATGATACTCACGGTTTACCACCAGGAATTGAGGTCATTCCATTCGTTGCGATTCCAGGAGCCCTAGTGTGTGGATGACCATCATAACCCATCATTGGTGGTCGACTGTAAGGCGATGGGGCTACGTTATTGTAAGGACTCAAATGTTCCGAGGCTCGAGCACCCCCCAAAGGGTATGGAGGATACTGACCTGTGTGGCCCACTTTGGATACTGTTGCTGAACCTGCGCCCAAATTGGGGGTCGTTGAACGAGGTTTTGAACCTGGCGTAAGAGGTTTTTCCTGAAACCAATAGAGAATATGAATTAAAATTATTTGCTGTTATCCCTTACAAATTGAGGAAAATCTTATAATTTAAGTAATATTATAAGATCATGTTTACTTTATTTAAAACATAATGAATCTTCGACAAAATGGTTTAGACTTTCACGGCTGAGGTTTTCACTGTCATTGCTTTTGAGTTTGAAAGCCTTGGATTTTTGGAATTTCTTCCTGACGTTTCGCTGGCGCGAGTCGCTAGCTTCTTCAGAGGTTTAACCATCATGGCTTGCTGTCCGATGACTACCTTTTAGGCTTCGTAAAGCGTATGACTTGTCAGGTAATCCGTTGTATTTGTACCTGCATTTGTACCTGCATTTGTACCTGTATTTGTACCTGTACTTGAACCTGAATCTTCCATTGATTTTCAAGAGCACCTGAATATCAGTAGATAAAAATTAAAGCCCTTTTTTTTCGTGAAGATCCCCATAACATTTTGTTGTGAATGATTGTGAAATTTCACAGATCAACTAGTTTAGAAGTCAACTAAAAAGACAACCAAAGTGTATACTTGATCGTTGAAAAAACCGTTCAAAAAATACTTGTAAAATTGGTTTCAGATAAATGATTAATGTTCAATCTTACATCTTTACTTTTCAGGGATGGTGTGCTTCTTGAGGACGATGAACCACTCCGACTTGGTGGCCTTTCTATTTTTATTTTATCACTGCTCGTACTACCATTTTCTCTTATTTCGCTAGGATTTCCTAATGCTACATGGTCGCCATTAGTATGGGGAGAAGACGCCTCCTGAAAAAAAATGCTTTGATTCGATGACTTTTTTACTTCATGTCATTTTCAAAAAAGATTGGTCTAATCGAGTTTTTCCATTTATTTCAAACAGTGATATAAGCGCAGAAAAGTTTCGGAGAAATTACTCCAACTGATCATATATTACTTAGGAATAAATTTGATAATGCCAAGTAAGAAATGTCATTCATTGTTTACCAAGAAATATTATTAAATTTCGTTTTATGTGAATTCATTTCAAAACAAATGAAATTTATTGGACTGAGTTTAATGACTGTTACTAGACTCTCTAATGGACAGAAACATCGGACATAAATACCTATCTCATTACCGTGGTAACCAAAATCTTGAAATAACAAGTTTTGTTAAAAACTACCGAAGTCAATTTCCTGAATATTTTTGCTTTGTCAATCTTTTTTAATGAAAAAATTGGGAAATATTTTTCCACGGGTTTAAAATAAGACAATATAACTAATTTCAAATGTTCTCAATTTGTATTTTTCCTAAGAAGAGCATTTCTGAAATCATTGATTGAATTGAAGAAATACGATGTTCATGATTTTTCTAAATGAATAACAGATTTTGAACAGATTTTTCATTAGTAGTAACAGAGCACACAGGAACGGAGCAGAGAGAAACTCCGTTCAAATAATCAATCAAAGATGTTTGAACAAAGAGAAAAGTTTTTCTCGACATCTTAGCTATCGTACAAAAGGGAATACATTACACATGAAAAGTACGTCCAACAGTTCTATATCACTGGGAAAGAAATTTCAATTTTCTTCCCTGGTGTTGACTTGCTTGTAATATATTTGTCAATTCTCTTGGTTTTTCTGGTTGATTAAACTTCTACGTCAAACATAAAACCTGCAGACTGCATCCAACGAACAAATGTACCTACTAATTAGTGTTTTGATGATAATTCGGAAAGTGAAATTTAATTGAATCTTGTCGTTATGAAACATTTGCCTTTAGGTCAAATGACTAAAAAGAAAATTTAATGAAAACTGTATGCAAAAAACACGTTATTGTGAGATTTTTACTAAACAGTTTTACAAAAACACAACACGTGTTTTACACGCCCGAAGAAGCCATTGTATGGCAAAACACGTGTTGCGTTTTTGTAAAACTGTTTAGCGAAAATCTCACAATAAAGTGTTTTTTTAAATACGTTAGTTATACACTTTCATCAAGTATCGTTCATTTCCATCATATAAAAAAGTGTTCTTTAATGAAATGAATTAACAATATAGATTACAGAAAAAATAAGAAGGAGAGTGATGAAAAAGGGAAGAAGAAAGTAATTTTCAACTTGGTTGTGGATACTATCAATCGAAACTTCGTGGAGCAACACGGCGAGGAATAATTATTTTCTCTTCTTTCTTCACCATTACTCTTTTTCCTTTGCATATTATTGACATTTTAATTTCATTAACATTTATCTCATATTTTGTTTTGAACCATACACACCATAACATCATTTTTTCTGTATCAATAAGCATTCTTACATTTTTTTAAATTCATGTCATCAATATTAACAATAATAATTTATTGAGTCCATTACGATCACAAAGTGAAATAAGATACGGCAAACATATATAAAAATACGTTATGAAAACGTGAGATATAACAATTGTGTCACACAAACACAAAAGAAAATTAAAATATAGTGAATATATAACATAATATGAAACCCCTCTCCTCGACTTAGATATTTAGCAGTAAAAGGAACCGTTAATCTGGAATTCTTTCAGGGTTTGTTCGAAATTTTTTCTACATTTTTCTTTTTACGCAATCGGGAAGATTATCAAAAAGCTTTGCACCAGCGTAGGATGGACTGTTCTCATATAAATTAGTTGAATATTTTTCAAACCTAATGAAATTACCATTTCTTGTAGGATATGCATGAAAATCTGAATTGCAGAGATTATTTTCTCTTCTGAATAACTAATCCGAATATTTTGGCCCTATAATTTTTCTGAGCTCTGAAATTGAGAATGACTAGAAAACAATCTATTTTTCTATGATAATTGTGTTTTTATTTTCCAGTTAAACAGCTGTCACCCCTTCACGAATTACAAACCTCGGAAGACAATATTGGTACCAACTAAGGATTAACGAAGTCTGATTTTTAAGTAGGTACTATTCCTAGCACGGATTGAACAGATTGTCAATGAATCAGGGAATTTTCAAAATTAATACCTGATTTCAACATTCCTTGGATTGAAATATGCTTTATTTTTACTATTGGAAACGTAAACAATATAAATGTTATATTTTGAATATCATACCTCATTGGCGACGTCGACCACTAAGTCTTGATCACTCTTCTCACCGTCACTTTCCTGAAAAAAAATAAAACAAATCATAATATTGAAATTATATTCATTTCAGCGTGGTCCATACAAGAATACAACCTGGCAGGTTTGGATAGTTCCTTTAAATTTTTCAATAGGTTCCCGACTTTTATCACCATTTTCTGTAATGAACTGAACAATTCAGTAATTAGAGAACAAACAAATTGCTGAAAAACATGGACTGATAAGCTTCGTTTAATGAGTATGATTACCGTAAGTGAAACAAACTAGTACCAAAAAATCTGTCAGGTAGAATTGTAAGAATGGTAAATATCTGTGAGATTCCTTCATTTCAAAAGAGATATTTGGGCAGTCTTTCGTTATTAAGGCTGTATTGAGAAATAGTGGAAAATAATTTGAGGAGACATGAAATCGCGAATATGAGAATGAATATAATCAAAATCTCATTTTGGTTTAATTTTCCAGATGCCAGATCTCAAATTCGCTCCAATTTTTCGATATTTAAACCAATTTCTGACATGTTTATCAGCAATTGGTTTAAATTTATCATGGAATTTAGTATTGAGCCCTAAAACGATGAAGATTCCATAGAAATTATTATTACCACAGAGAAAATTTGATACAATACCAAAAATGAAATCATCTGTTTATTTTGAATCGAATTATTTTTATATTTTTCTTTTCAATTTAAATAACAAGATTCTACAGGGTGTTTATTAAACATGCGGCAAACATTTGACGGACTATTGTAAGGATTTGTCATTTGAGTATTTTTTGATAGGGCGCTTTGTTTCGAAGATACGGAGCGAAAAAGAATTTCAACAATAAGAATTTATTACCAAAAATTACATGTAATGTTTCTTAATCTACAAGAATTGTTGAAAATGTATATACCCCGCTCTGATGCAAGAAACCAATCTTCTCATCGACTCCCGAAGTCTTTTAAAAACACCAGGATCGTTTCTGATTGCGTTACACCCAGCAAATTGAATCTGTAGCCGTTTGTAGTAATCGGAATGTTGTTGATAGGTACCAACGGAATTGTTAGATTTTTTATTACTTGGTAGGTCCAGTGTAGTACGCTATACTTTTATTTCGGCTACGTTATAATTTTAAAATTATCAAAATTGTTATTGTCTAAATTCTTTTTCATCCTGTATCTTCGAAACAAAGCGCCCTATCAAAAATTATCAGAAGACAAAATATCCTTAGGATAAGAATAAGGAAAACTTCCTTATTTTTTCCGCATGTTTAATAAACACCCTGTATATGTACGGTTATGAGAAAAGTATTCAAACCATTTTTCATATCATAATTATTTAAAACCACTTTTATCGCCAAGAATAATATTCTAGAATCAAGAGAATGAAAGAAGCAATAAAAATAGTTCTGTCACTTAAGGGTTCGAAAGTAAAAAGCAGTATAATGAATAGCGGTTGTGATTTCGGTTGAAGAAGATTTCTTATTGAATATAAAAACAATTTGAATCAATTTCAATACTAATCTCACATATTCTTGTCATTCAAATTGTTACTAACATATTCTTGTTTGGAAAATTCTCCATAACTTTTCATTATTTTTCTACCACATCCAACGCGTTCAAGATTTACTCCTGACTTTTCATCACGGATGAACTCTTGCCAATCGTTATTTGATACTGAAATTTTATTCAACGAAGAAGCCAATCATTCCAGAGAAACGCGATGCAAAACTTTCACAATAATCATTTTCAGGTTGAAAAAACATTTCGGCTGAAATATGGGGTGGTTATTCACTTGGACAATATTTTCTTTATGAGAGCTTGAATATGCATACTTCGAAGACAAATTGTCAGCTTCGATGTAAAATGTAAACAACTTTATAAGTCCAAAATTACAATCATAGTAATTAACAATTACCATAAGCCTGCCCATCTATTTCGTACTGAGGGACAGTTAGAAATTATCTGTGAAACTGTTTGGGAATGAGTTCTGGCATTATCCGAAGACTACTTGTGTCCATGGAAAAAAGAGCAGAATCATGCAAATTTCAAGGTGGTTAAAATATTCAATATCTGATTAATTTAGTTTTGTGAATTCAGGGTGATTATGTGTAAGCATCCCAGAATGTATTCATTAAGCTATTCAGAAAGGTATTGAAAAATATTTACGTCCGCATGTTGAGTAGCGTCCCTGTAGTTCCATTACGAATGTTTGGAATACAAACTGAATAAGAAACATGATTTTTATGTAATTCAATGTTCATATATCTTTTCTTTAAAATAACATGAATTGTTTTTTGGAAGACGAAAATGTATATATTTTTAGGTGAAAACCGTAGTCAAACGAAAATCATCAGATTTTCACGAAAAGGATTAAGGATTTCAAAAATAATGTTTACTTTGAAAAAAGTAGTAATGGTGCCTCGCTATTCTATTTAAAATTGTTCAATGCAAATCCTACACAGATGCCACCGGCAAGAATAACGATTATCTTATACCAATGTTTGTTTGAAGGTGATTGACAATGTTTCGTGATGAATTTCACTAGTTCGGACTTCCATTGTCTAATATATAAAATGATTTGAAATCCCTGAAACAAGTAAAAAAAGAATAATTAAAAAAAAAGAATAGTTGAAAATAACAATTATATTAAGCAACAATAAACCTGAAATGAAATGAAAAAATAATAAAAATAAAAAAGTGTAGAGATTCCAAGTCACGTTAGTTCACGACGTTTCGATTGTTGGTATCTACAATCGTCTTCGGGTGATGACTGGGTTGCATTCCTCTAATTTATTCAATTATTATATTTTTACTTGTAGGTTATTTTACTATCATTTCATTTCAGGTTTATTGTTGCTTAATATAATTGTTATTTTCAACTATTCTTTTTTTTTTTAATTATTCTTTTTTTACTTGTTTCAGGGATTTCAAATCATTTTATATAATAGACAATGGAAGTCCGAACTAGTGAAATTCATCTTATACCAAGTTTCACAAAAAAAAAATAGGATCATACCAACGTTATGATAAAAGAAAGCATATCACTTTGTAGTTTGAAAGTGGAGACCTTCAAAAAATATGATCTTTTGAAACTTTACTTTTTCTCAAAATTGACACCAATCAAAGTTGATAAGAAACACCCTTAACCTTTTTGATTAAGTAGTAAGTTATATTCTCAAATGTTTTTCATCAGCTGATTAACGGAAAAACAGATTTTAAACAGAAACAGATTTTTTTAAACAGTTCAAAGATATTTGAGAATGTTTTTCATTTCAAAAATGTTTATAGATATAGAATCGAGTTATTTCACGACGTTTCGATCGTCAGCATCGTCAGTAAGTATCGTTGTGAAAAAGAAACAGTCTTTTATGATCATTTCGAAACATAATATGAAATCATGAACCTCCTTCATAGCGTGTAATATCTCAATTTATACCAACAATCATCTGTAATCTGGAAATATTCCTATCCATCCATTCTATCAGTTCCAGCCATTCTGGTATGATAATTTATCTGCTCCTGTCGCCCGTTCCCCGAAAATATTCCCCATTACCGCTACCGAAGGGCGTTAGATATCCGTTTCCCCCTTCTGACCGTTCGATCTCTTTGGGCGTTAAACGTTGGTGAGTTGGCGTAAAAATCATGTCAATCAATATTTGTACCACTCCAATAAAAATAATAGTGGTTTTCACAGCAGCGCGACCACTGTGCAGAAGAGGAAACTGAAAATAATTTAGTAACTTATGCCAGTCGCACTCTGACAACTTTCAATCATAAAAATAGAGTACATTATTTTATGAGTAGGATATGATATGGAAGAAAATACTACTTTCAGATATTACCCAGATATTACTCACCATTACCCACAACAATAAATGGCGGAACTACATTTTCTTGTCCATAGGCTTGTCACGTGATATCAAGGAAAAAAGTGATGAAGAAGATTGCTGAAAGTAATGGGTATTCTTCAAACATAGTTAATTAGGAAGAGAAAAAAAATTGTACATTTTTTTACTCGTCATTATGAATCCATTGAGCTATTGCATATTTTCAGGAGCTTTCCGCCTATTGAACACGAATTTTTAGAAATGAATTTCAATCATTTCATGAGTGTAATCATTCACGGCCGGAACACGGACACGCTACAGAAAACGGGTGCCATTGAACAAATAGAGCCAACCGTAGAAACTGAAACACCGACAGAGAGGCCAACCACTGAAGAAGTGGCACCAACCCAAAAAAAAAGTGGTTGGCCACAGAACCAGGAAAGCCACCACCAATAGTCTCACACGATATCAAAAAATGAAACGAGATATCAAAAGATCTCGAAGCAAAGAAAATTGGTTACAACAAAGCCAAATTAACGAGAGACGGGATATATCTACAGACAAACGATGAGGCTGAATGGCGTAAAGCCACCAGATACCTGGAAGACAAGAAATTGGACTTCCATACATACACCGTCAAAAGAGAAATACCGTTACACGCGGTTATCCGCGGAATCTCAGAGAATGTGAAAGCGGAAGACGTAGGAAACGACCTGACGAAACAAGGTTTCACGGTGCTATAATGTCACCGTATGATATCAAGGCGAAACAGGAAAGTGCTGCCACTATTCCTTGTGAAAGTGCCCAAAAAAGAAGAGAAGATATTCGCACTGAGAACGTGCGTAGACCTAATAGTGCAGGCGGAGCCCCAAAAAACAAATAAGGGACTAGTGTCACAATGTCACAGGTGTCAATTCTTTGGGCACTCGCAAAGATGCTGCCATTCAACGGCACGTTGCGTGAAGTGTGGTGGAAACCACGAAAGTAGAGACTACAAGAAGACAACAGATACGTCAGCGAAGTGCGCGAACTGATTGGAAGCGCACCCGGCAAGTTATAGAGGTTGTAAAATGTTCCCGAGGCCGAGAACAACAGCATGGAACAGGCTCAGAGAAGCCGAAAGACAGAGAGAGGCCTAAGCAACAGCCATCGGCCAAAAAGACGACCTCACAAAAAAAGAATCTGACAGCGGCAACGAACTAATTAAAGTTCTGAGTAAGCTAACGACGGAACAGCAAAAGATCGCGCAAGCGTTCTTAGCTGCACTAATTCAAGCACCCAGGAGACAGTAATGCCTGCACGAATCCCGGAACAACTAAAAATAGGTTCGTGGAATATAAACGGTTCCACAGACAGGCGAAACTAGCTACTGGAGCTGCTATCGCGTCTAGACATAGACGTCATTGCACTGCAGGAGACAAGGTTAAGGAGCGAAAAGAGCTACCGAATCCCAGGATACAACGTATATAGGATAGACAGGCCAGGGGGGCGCCGTGCTGCAGGGGGGGGCAGCGCTACTAGTAAAAACAGACCTAGCGTAGAATGACGTCCAACTCGGAGAAGCAGTAGCGGTCAGAGTCAAACTGAGACGCTACGAGCAGCTAAGAATATCATCGGTATACCTGCCTCCGCAAGGTATAAGATTAGAAAGAACCGACATGGCAGAAATGTTTTCAGACCACCACCCAACAGTTGTCATCGGCGACTTCAACGCAAAGTCGCGAGACTGGAACTGTAGGTATGGAAATAAGAGAGGCAGAGATCTAGGCAGAATTCTAGAAGAATTTGAGGACATTGCGGTAGTAGCACCGAATACACCAACGCACTACCCACGAGAAGACCAAGTCCCTGTGACATTCTGGACATCGCACTAGTGCAGAACATCGATACTACGGAGATGGAAGTACTAGACGAAGGTTCGTCAGACCACAATCCCATCCTGTTTACAATAGGAAGAGGTGAAGTGGAAACAGACAACCCAACAAAGAGAATTATCGACTGGATGAGATTCTATCGCGCCATACACGATGCGATGGGTGAGATACCACGCATCGAAACAAGAACGGATCTGGAGAACGCCACACACCAGCAGCTGGTGTGTGGCTGTGTGCCTGTTGCAGAACAGGCGATCAGTCAAACGATGGAAAGAAGCGCGCGGGAAGTGCTTCCCCGCGCTATAACTTCCAAAGCATATTCCACCAGAAACGATGGAACTGATCAGGATAAGAAGACGCCTGAAAAGACAATACTGAAGGACACGTGCACCTATGGACAAAAGGTGCATGCAGAGAGCCAACAGGATATTGAAAGAAGAACTGAAAACTATCCGAGATAGACAATGGACTTCCCGTTTGGAAGAACTGAATACCGAATACCAGTCAGCATAGAGAATGCAGAAAATACTCAGGAATCGACCTCGACAGCCATGCCCGCCAATACACGGCGAGCAAGGAATCGTCTACACTGATCAGGAGATGGCGGAAGCATTTGCGGACAACTTCGAAAGACAATGCAGAGAGAACGACGTCCCGTTCACGGACGAGGTAGACGAAATCGAGAGACAGGTGGAAAGAACGGTACGAAGAATAAGACAAAGAACAGACAACGCGCAAACCCTGGCCCCGACATCTCCCGAGGAAGTGAAAGACATCCTTAGACGTCTATCCATTCGGAAAGCACCAGGCCCGGACCGAATAACAAACCGGGCACTGAAAGTCCTACCACGCAAGGGTATACCAGCCATAACCAACATCATAAATGCTATACTCAGATTGCAGCACTTCTCGTACCCTTTCAAAGAGGCAACGGTTATCCACATCCCGAAGCCCAAGAAGAACCACCTGTTCACAGACAATCACAGGCCAATTAGCTTACTTCCTTCCATAAGCAAAGTGGCGGATCGTGTCATCTTGAAGAGACTCGAAGACCAAACCAGAGAACTAGGAATCCTCCCGGATGATCAATTCGGTTTTAGATCGGAACACTCGACAGAGCTACAAGTCCTGAGGGTAGTAGACTTCGCGACCGAGGGCTTCAACCTCGGCAGAAAAGGACACAACACCGGAGCCATCTTCTTAGACGTCTCCAAGGCGTTCGACAGAGTTTGGCACGACGGACTACTGGCCAAAATGAGCGATTTAGGATATTCAAAACCAATGGTAAGATTAATTTAGTCTTTTCTAGCTGACAGGCGATGCCGTTGCAGAGTAGGTGACGAATTATCAACATTTCGACTACTGGAAGCAGGAGTCCCGCAAGGAGCAGTCCTTTCGCCACACCTCATCTCCGTATACACAGCGGACGTGCCCAAGCCAGAGAACAACTTTAACAAGTTGCCACTCTACGCGGAAGACACGGCCCTGCTGGCCAGATCCACGAGCCAATTACATGTCACAAGGTACTTGCAACAACAGGCGAACAGATTAGAGGAGTGGGCCAACCTGTGAAAGATCAGTATAAACCCTTACAAGAGTTAGGCGATACTGTTCACTCGCAGGTTTGTACAACCGGAAGGCAACGTCACCTTCAACGGACAAAAGATTCCGTGGACCAACAAAGCGACATACCTGGGGGTCACCTTAGACAGGAGATTAACATTTCAATCTCATGTACGGCAGAGAATCGGAATAGCCAGACACGCCAGACAACGACTGGCACCAATCATAGGACGCAGAAGCAACATGGGGTTGAAAGTGAAGTTGCTGATGATCAAAACCGTTCTCATGCCCATAATACTGTACGCCTGCATTGCCTGGGGCCAATATGCTTACTGAAGCATATTGCCGTCAGGCGACTTCGGTAAGCATATTAATCAGACTTTCTTTCAGCAAGTTCACCACAGAACAACTCGACCGCGATTCAATTATCATTAGATTAACTGAGGAACGCTCGACGCTAACAACAATAGCCGCCGGTTAGTTTTTGGGGCCCCCCATGCAAAAATTCAGTTAGGAATAGTCATGACAAAACATTTTACCGATCGCGAAAGAATAGCACCTAAAGGCTGACTTTCGACCAAAAGAGGTCAGATGTCAATCTTGCTGAAGTGCCCATCAGTAACTTGAGGACCGCTCGGAGAACGGGGGTAAATGGAGTGGGGTAGTAGGTTCTCCTCGCTATATTTTTTTCTTTGAAAATTCGCGATAAATTACTCGAAATATCAGATGAATTATCCTTTTTTGCACAATAAAAATTCTATCAGTAGAATTAGCTGGATGCTATGCCGAAGTATCATAGCATATAACCAAATGAACCAGGGCATGGCATACAGTTATCAGTACTCAAAGCAAATGGTATATTTTTTCTCATTTAGCTTTTGATCGAAAATCGTGGCCAAGAAATTACATTTAGAACTGAATGATGTTGGTTAACTGTAGGGGATCCATTGAGGATTTATCAAATCTGACTGCGGTTGTGTCCGTGTAGTTTCTAATTAGGCGATGCATCAATCGGTAAATTAATGAAAAACATTTCTAATTTTAGTATTTAAATCAATTACAGACCAACTCACTAATGAAGATATCGTCTAAAACCATCACCATGATTTATTTAGATAAATCATTGATGTATTATAAAAATTAACTACTCCGAGAAATTATTGAATCATTGAGCTTTTGATCTGACATTTTAAGATTAACTTTGACAATTAATTGATTTAATTGATATCCAGATAAATACTCTGCTTTGAAGTTTTATTGTTGATTTTTTCAAATCTATCAAATTTGAGGATTTGAAAATCTGGTGAGAGATTCAAGAATGATCCTATTATGGATTTTTCTTTTCCATTTACAAGCTGGAAAGGAAAGTTTCCTCTCTATGATTTTCCGGTCATCCATGTTGTTTTTTCATTCAAGGCTGAAATTCAATTAGAAAAACATTGACTTTCTAGTTCGGACTTTCATTATCTAATATATGATATAATATGATTTGAAAACAAAGTAAATCATACCAATTTCATCTCAAGTACAAGAAGTATTCCCGTACAAAAATATAAAAATGAATAAATGATATAATTATATTTTCTTCAATATAATTCATAAATAAAATAAA